GGAGATCAAGAAGGCCTATTACCAGGTGCGGCGGGACCGGCCGGGCCCAGCGCCCCGCGGGCAGCCGGGGGAGCCAGGGCTGCCCCTTGCGTGGAACAAACCCATCCCCGTGTTCGAAGCCCCTGGAGACGAGGGGAGGAGGCAGTGGGAAAGCTCAGCACATGGCCTTGGGGATCGCTTCCAAAGCATGGTCTGCCTGCGCTGCCATCGCTTGCCTCCTTCCAGAAGGATCGGGGCTTGCTGAGAAGATCAGGAGCAGCTCCTGTAGTTCCTTGTTTTGGGTTGATAAAGGAAAACGAAGGGTTTTAGTTCCCGGGAATGCATCTAGTGAACGTCAGGTTCTGCTTGATGTGTTTTTCCTGGCATGTGAGATGTGTCAAGGTAAATAACTCCTGCCTGTCCCTAATAGTTGGTTTTTGTTTTTTAGTTGGCAAAGAAATACCACCCTGACACAAACAAGGATGACCCCAAAGCAAAGGAGAAGTTCTCTCAGCTGGCAGAAGCCTACGAGGTAAAAACAAAATTTTATTGTGGTGATGAGGAGGAAAGATTAGAGGGTAGATGAGGGGAAACATTTCCTGTAAAACCATGGTTGATTTTTGATGCACTTCAATCTGGAGCGCCTCTGTCCCAAGAAATTACTTGGTCCAAGTGATTTATCTGCTTTGGGCTCTTTCAGTTTTCTCCTTCCTTAGCAGTGACTGTCATGGGTGTCACTTCATGGAATTATTGTCAGTTTAAATAATTGAATAAAAAACCTGTCAGCGGGTGTTTGAGACAGAGGGACTTCCACTGTGCTCCCCCAGCCCTGTTTTTTCATTCCAGCACTCTTCAGCTGATAGAATAGTGATCAGCTGCTGTTTTTTATAAATTAGTAAGATCTTGTAATTTTTCTGGTGATGAGCCAAGAGACACCAGGGAAGCAGCAGCTTGTCCTTAACCCTTGTGGTGCTGAGACCTGAGCGAGACCTTGCTGGAAGGTCTGAGACCAGAGCCAGGGGTTCTCCTGGATCCTGCAATCCCTGCAGGCCCCATTCCTTGCCTGCAGGTGCTGAGTGACGAGGTGAAGAGGAAGCAGTACGATGCCTACGGCACGGCGAGCTTCGAGGCTGGCGCGGCTGGGGCCGGGGCTGGGGCTGGCGCAGGGCGGCAGTACTGGAGCAGCGGCCCCTCCATCGACCCCGAGGAGCTCTTCAGGAAGATCTTTGGGGAGTTCTCAGGATCCCCTTTTGGCGATTTTCAGACTGTCTTTGACCAGCCACAGGAGGTAGGAGGTGCCTTTATTTAGGATTGAAATGGGAAACTCAAACCAGACTCTTCTGTCACAGAGTGCTGTGGGAGCTTTAGCAAGGGGTTATTTCTGGGAATGTCAGTGTGTGTGTCCCATGGCATGGGGAGAGTCTCATAGTTCTGCTAAGTTGTGCAGAAGCACACCCCACACCTCCAGACAGGGTTATTTTTTCTGGGCTTGAGCTACTTCTCTGGTGTTTGCTGACACCACCCAGCAGTGCCAAGCTGGCAGTACTCTCCAGTTCCATCGTTGTTTCTACTGCAGGTTGATCTACATATGCCTGCTTTGATCTGTAATGCTAAAACCCACAAAATACCTTGTAACTACAAACCTGACCTTCCAGCAATATGTTTGGCTGCTTAATTGGCTTAATTTTGCAACTTAATTAGCTTTACATTGTAGTGAGGCCCAGAATAAAATCTGTCTTGTTCTTCGTGCTGGAGCTAAGTGCTCCTTTAGGTGTTGGTGGTTCATGTGTTGTCTTCAGAAGTGTTTGGTACTCCTGGTTTTACTAAAAATAATCTTTTTCATATAAGGAGAATTTCCTCTTTTGATCAGTCATCTTTACTGATGACTTCTATTTTAAGCATTGTTTGGTATTTAGCCTAAACTCTTCTCAGGCTCCTTAAGGCCCTGTCCCACCTCAGTCATGGATCTATATCCATGTTTCCTGTGCAGTATATCATGGAACTGACATTCACCCAAGCTGCAAAAGGTGTTAACAAGGAGATTGTGGTGAACATCCAAGACTCCTGTGTGCGCTGCGATGGCAAAGGACACGAACCTGGCACCAAAGCTCAGCGCTGTCACTACTGCAATGGCACAGGCATGGTAAGTGCTGAGCAGGACACCACTTGTGCTGTGCTTGCCCTTCCTGGGAGAGTCACTTCATTCCATGGGGAAAATTCTCACCACCCTCATCAGCTTATCTTGGGTAAAGCTGAGTTAACGTCAGCTTGATGCTAATAGGCACTAGGAAGATTTTCTTCGTGTTAAAGTGCTGTGCCTTGCTGCAAGCATGAGCCTTCAGGCTGGATCCTCTGCTCCTGCACATCCCACAAACCATATGAATATAATGTAACAGCTCTGAAATTCCTTAGGCAATAAATGGATATCTTTTGACTTAGGTGGTGAAAACCTAAGGGTGATAATAAAATAAGAAGATACTGGTAATAATGGAGCTGCAGGCTTTGAGTTTCCATGCATCTGATTCCTTGTGTGCTTCAGTCTGGTTGGCGGCTCTCACAGTTCTGTCCAGAGCTTAGTCACCATAAGGTTTTCTTGGACACTGGCAGTAATTCATTTAAATGGATTGTCCTTGGATTCATCAGAACACAGATGTTTGTAGCACTGTAAGGAGCTTTGTCCCTTCCTGTGCATTAAAGCCTAGCCAGTGAGGGTGGTGTGTTTCCCTTGCCCTCACCACGTAACACTTGCTCGTAGTACTGCTGGTGTTCAGTGGAAATCGGATGTGATGGTGATGGATTTCAGAGCCAGCTTTGTTCTCCAACCCTTGCTGAAGGATATCTCTGTTCTGACAGGGGGTGTGTGTGATCAGAGCTCAAACATGCTGTGTGAAAAGTCCCCTGTCAGTACTCATTACTTGCCCACCACGTGTTTGTTCCTCTCCAGGAGACGATCAACACAGGCCCGTTCGTGATGCGCTCCACGTGCCGGCGCTGCGGCGGCCGCGGCTCCATCATCACCACGCCCTGCGTCGTGTGCCGGGGCACGGGGCAGACCAAGCAGAAGAAGACAGTGATGGTTCCTGTGCCAGCTGGTCAGTGTTGTACCTGTCTGCTGCTCTCTCTGAAAGAACTGTAGTTATTTACTGCCACTGCTAGGTACAAATGGGTGGGCAGACCTTTTGCTGCAGATAAATGGTTTTTAAGTAAAGCAGATTGAGAACTTGGCAATGGAACGGGCTAGTGATGAGCTGGGCCTTCTGGCCATGGGTATAAATGTTTGCTTTGCCCTTCCTGAGCTTTGGTTCTTGACTGGATCCTCCTAGGTAAGTTTTGAAGAGTGAATCTCTGAAGGTTTTGTTGCCATTGGTCTTTCATTTGTCCTTGACAAATTCAGGAGAGGGTGGGAATCCCAAAAGCCTTGGCTTGGCTCAGAGGGGTGTGCTGATGGCCTTCCTCACCAGAGGGGAGAATTCACTGGTGAAGGAATTCAGAGGGGAATTCTTTGAGACCACCCTGGGTAAGCAGCCTGTAATTTTCCTGCATCTTGTGGAGGCTGCTGTGTTCCTTAATCCCAATGCATTTTGTAAAGAATTCTGTAGATATTGATGCAACAAACGTGTTGGGGGCACAGGGATCACCTCAGAGTATAAACATGTGCTGACCCCATCTCCTTTAGTCTGTGGTGGTCAGCTTTTGGGATTGGCAAGAGTTGTAGGTATCCATGTCACACGACCCAAGGTGACATTCTCTTTCTGTTCTGGTTGCAGGTGTTGAGGACGGGCAGACAGTTCGGATGCCTGTGGGGAAGAAAGAAATTTTCATTACGTTCAAGGTATGTATCCCAGGCTGGTTTATTATTTAAGTTGGCTGTTCCCTTCTCAGCTGCCTGGGAAAGGACTGCAGAATGGGCAGAGGAGGAAGAGCCAGTGATCCTTTGGAACAGCTGAGGTAACATGATCCCTGTGAACTTTTTGAGACAGCAGGAGATCTGCATTGTAGCAAGGGGGGTAACTTTGAATCTGTTGTTGAAGAATCGCTGCTTGTTCCAGGGCCAGGCCCTTAGAGTGGTGTGAATCAAAATGCAGAGTAGATTCTTCATGCCTTGAGTTTTTTGACTTGGAAATGTGAGGGAGCTTCCTGCTGGCAGGGGTGGCAGAGCTGTGGGAGGTGCCACAGGAGTTTGCCTGCTGAAGTGTCCTTTTGCAGATCCACCTTCAGGGCTGCTTTGCACCTGTGCTGTAGCTGGGCCTCTTCTCCTGTCACAGTCCTGCCACACACATCACTGTTAAGGAGAATTTTTTTTTCAGCACCTCTTTCATGGTGCAGGAGGGTTTATTATCTATAATGACAGAAGGATTAGAGAAGGGAGTTCCTGAGGAAGGAAGCAGGGATCCTTCCAATCCTTTGGCTAGTTCAGTTATGTCAAGATCTGTGTTTTACTAGAAGACCAAATATTAACTCACAGTTCTTAGCCACGCAGTTTGGGGATGGTATATTTTTCTTCCTGAGACCCCTGGGAGCAGTCTACCAGGAGAACAGAGTGTGCTCACTGCTCTTGGGACCTTTCCTGCCCTGCAGGTTCAGAAGAGCTCTGTGTTCCGACGAAACGGAGCCGATATCCACTCGGATCTCCTGATCTCAGTAGCTCAGGCCGTGCTGGGAGGCACAGCCCGGTGTCAAGGCTTGTATGAGACAATCAACATCACGGTGAGTGCCAATACCCCGGCCATGAATCAGTGGGGGACAGCAAAGGCTTCTCCTTTGCTGCAAAGGTGGGGAAAATCTCCTGAGTCTGCCAGTACTGCATTTCAGACTCCTTCAGGATTGAGCCTTGGGTAGTTTGTGACCTGCCTGGTCACAGCTTCTTTCCTGTTGCTGTGTAGGGACAGGGAAAGAAAGGGATTGCTGGACAAATCCCACCTGGGTCAGGTTCTTTACTTTTTCCTTCAAAAGCTTTTCCATCATTACTGGCTTAGCTTTGGGATGTGTCCCTATGCATATGACCACACCAGAGCTCTCCCATCCTACTTTAAAGCTTGTTGGAAAGGCAGATAATTCTTATAGATGTGTAATTATTGTATAAATGTTTAATTAGAGTAATAAATGTGACCCCTGTCTGTTTTTAGATACCCCCTGGTATTCAGCCAGACCAGAAAATTCGAATGAGTGGGAAAGGCATTCCCAAGGTCAACAGCTATGGCTATGGAGACCACTACATCCACATAAAGATAAAAGTTCCTCAGTAAGTAGAGCTAAAACAAGTTCCTGTGAAATCTTAAAAACCTTTTGCAAGAAATGTTGTTTAGAAGTTGTGAAAATTCCATGAAATGCAGTGGGTCCTGTGTTTCCTCTTCCACTGAGAGTATTTTATAGATCATTCCTCAGAGATGGCTCATTTAAAGAGCACATGGATTCCTGGTGTATTCCTACACAATGTACTCCAGTCCCTGCCCCTCGTGGGTGCTGCTAGGGGAGTTTTGGGGGGTCTCTGGGACCCCCAGGCCATCCCTGAGCCCTGTCCTGGTGCCACAGGAGGCTGACAGATCGCCAGCGAGCCTTAATGATGAGCTACGCCGAGGACGAGGCCGACGTGGACGGCACCGTGAACGGGGTCACCAACACAGCATCAGGTGAGTGAGGGAACTCCTGCCCCTTCCCTGGGCACTGCTGTGGGAGTGCAGAGTGCTCCCTGGGCATTCCTGGGGAGCAAGGTGAGCCAGGGTCACTGTGGCAGCACAGCCTGGTGTAACAAAAATAGCTCTAGTGTGATATTAAGAGGCTGTAGCACACAGCAGGGAGGCAGCCTCTTCCCAGGAAGCTCTGTTCCATACTTACTGGGCAAATCCATGTGTGAACAGAGAGCAGGCACTGAGTTCTCCAGGGTCCAGACAAGCTGTGCTGATGAATGCCTCCTGCTCCCTGCTTCCCCTGTGCCAGGACTTGCCTCGAGGCAGAAAAGCAAATGTACTTCAAGCCAGTTTCCTGTGTGATCCTGAGCACAGCAGGGCTGTTTCTCCTGGAATGCTGATGGGGATTTCTGTTGGGGCTGAGCTCTGTGTGTGTGGGGAAACCTGGGCTAGGAGTGTCCATTGGTGGCAGTGTCAGCTCTGCTCAGTGGACAGCCTCCAGCACCATGCAGGAGTGAGAGCAACTGGGAGCTTTGTGAAGCTCCAGATGGAAAATCAAGATTCAGCAATTGTGTTTTTTAAGTTTCAGGGATGAGGTGCTTGGAAGAAGCAGCAGCTAAAGGCCCAACACATTAGGTAAAATATTGAGGAAGGAGCTTTGGCTACTGGAAAGCAGTTTTTTCTTTGCTTAATTGGAACAATGAACTTAAATCCCACTGGATTTTGGTTTTGGTTTGAAAGCCAGCAGGGCATTTATGACTAAGCAAGGGTGAGAGCCTTTTGGAGCTGTTGAATGATCCCAGGATCTGCTCTACTACATGCCAAAGTGTGGGCCATATAGGCTTAGGTGCAGGATATTAGAAGGCAGCATCTGCCAAATGCTTCCCAGTGTTGTGTTTTATGATGCTTTCCTAACACAGAAATGACATCTTTCCCATATTACAGTCAGCCCTGGGGGAAGGGCAGAGAGCTCTGAGCACTGAATTTCCATTCCAGCTTTTTAAAGGCATTAATGTGCCAAAGAGAAAAAGAAACACTCTTAAAAGTAATTTTTGAAAAAGCAAACCTACAAGTTTTTACCACGCTGAAGCAGCAAGGTGGGGTAAAACAACGCCAGTAGGTCGCAGTGTAGAGACAGGCTGTGCTGAGGGAGGCGTGTCCTGCCTCGGGATTTCATTCCATTGCATCAGTCCTAGCCCAGCACTCAGCCCTGGGGAGCTGGGGAGCACCAGACTCTGCATTCTCCGTGCACAAAGAAAGCTTGAGGGGGTGTTTGGGATCTTATTATTGATAGTTTTACTGTAGAAAAAAAGCAGATTAGCAAAGAGGTCCCCTTTGTTCTCGTTATAGCCACTTCTGAGGGACAAACAAGTTCTCATGACCTGTTCATAGAGGACAGTTTTAACATTCCTTATCTGGAGAGTTGGTCTGAAATACTTGTAGCCTTTTTCATTCTACATGAGTTAATTTTCTTCTTGATACTGTCTGAGAAATGCTTGCAATGACATAAATCAGGCTCCTGGTGTGGTTTTGCACTGCTTTGCAAGGACACAACCTTGAATCAGGAAGAACTTGTTTCAGGGACCACCAGTATAGATTTTTTAACCCTGTAAAGTCCTGGCTGGCTGTGATTGAGTTCACCGCTTGTTTTTAGTGGCAGACTCCCAGTTCCAAGCACTTGTTTCCAAAGCCTCTGGGGTCCCTGACTCACTCAATTGTGCAGCACGAGAATTCCCTTGCCAGTTGGAGGGCTGGGGAAAGGGGAACAGCTCAGCACCTGAGCTCATGGTTGGCTTTTCCACTTCTGGGATCCAGGCTCCCCAGTGCTTCCACTGCAAGGGGTCCAGTCCTGTGGCTCGCTTCAGGTGCAGCCCTGGATGTGAGGGAGTAGCACAGCCAGCTGCTTTCTCTTGGCCATTCCCTGTCCTAAACACCCCTCTGGTCCTGGTGGGAGATGTCTCTGACTGCAGCCCTTTGCTGTTTGTGTCCAGGTGGCAGGGCCACGGCTAGCGCTGACGCAGGCGGGGATAGGCCTGAGGCTCAGGAGAACAAGGAGGGATTCCTTTCCAAACTTAAGAAAATGTTTACCTCCTGACACCCCATCCGAGGTAGGAGGCCTCTTGTGTTTCACTGTTGTCTTTCCCCCACACTGAGCACTTCCTGGGAGATGGAAGCACAATAGCACAGAGCTGCTTCTCACTTAGCCTCAGGCCTTCCAGCCGGGTGTGCACAGCCCTAGTTGTCCCTTGGGACCTGGAGCAACAAGCCAGGGATTAAAGTGCATTGTTGCTGCAGCAAAGAGTAGCACAGATGCTGGGTGCACCCTGGGGGAGGTGGCTGGCCTCCCCTGCAGCTCTGCTGCTGGAGCTGTGCCCAGTTCCAAGCACTGAGCGTGTTCCCATGAGCTGGTCCCGCTGGGACCGGGTTCTGCCACACAAATCCTGGGCTGCAGAGCCACTGGTGCTGGCACACTTGGGCTGGATTCACCCCTGCCATTGCCTTACAGCACCAGGGATGAGCCAGCCTTTGTCACAGAGCACAGCAAACCCCACCATGCATCACTGCAGTGTAATTCAGGTGCTTTAGTTGGAGCTGACCTGTTATGAGGGAGCACTGAGACTTGGAATCAGCTACAGCAAACACAGAGTCTTGGATTCCGGGGGCTCAGCTTTGCATCTTTGTAGGCTACAAAGCTGGCTGTGCTGTAGGGCTGACTGTGACAGCAGGTCAGAAGGGGAGATGCTCCCAGAGTGGGCTGTGTGCTCATACAGCCAGGAAATGATAACCTTCCTCTCACTTCAACTGCAGGAAAGCGTTCTACTGGGAACTAGGAGCCAGCAGCAGCAGGACATCCATGCAGTTGGGGGTGAATCTTTCTGGCAGCCAGGCTCTGGAGACCACAGGATGTCAGTCAGCAGCAAAGCAAGAATTGCAGCTGGAGAGCCATGGACCACCAAGGCACCAACACAAACCCCACCCACTGTCCTAGGAACTGGCAGTGAAGGAAAACACCAGCTTTGCAGAAGTGTGGCTCTCTGGAGGCTGTTCCACAACCCGACTGCTGCTGGAAGCTTATTTGGTAAAAGTTAAAGTATTATTTAGAATCCAAACCAGAGGAAATGTGAAATAAATATTCCAGCACAGAGCAGCAGTTTGCTGTACAGAGACCAAGCCCACCAGCTGCTCACTCAGGTGCCCTTTGGAATGCCAGGTGTGCTTGGTGAACTCTCCAGGAGGCTGGGTGGGTCAGGGAGGTCTAACCTTGTCTTCACGACAGCCCTGCTGCCCTGCACAGCTCTGAGTGGAATCTCCCCATGGCTGGGCATTGTCTGAGCCCAGCTGGCCTGGCTCCCTCACAGCCCTGGGCTTTCTCTATCCTGCTGATTGCCTGCACAGAGCAGTGATGGAATCTGCACTTTGCCTCAAGTTTATCCCCCAAATAACTAAAGTTACCACACAACTGCTGTCGCTTCTGGACTGGTACAAATCGATCACTGAGCCCTTTGCCAGTTGGGGACAAAAATCTTTTATTACCTTAGTGCAACACCCATAGTGTAAAGGATTGGTCAAAGCATTGTTGTTTTACTTGTGTGAGAGTGCAAGTGAGGTGGATCACTCCTTCCAGATGCAGCTGAGCTCTTGCAGTGAGTATTCCATGGTTACTGTAGCCTGCTGTGTTTGTGATACCGTGCAGGTACCATCAGCCCACCTACTAATCAGTTCAACACCAGTTAAACAGGGACATGCTGTAGTCTTGCCCTTCTTAATTTGCTGAAATAAAGCACGCGTTGCCTCCTGATTAAACTTCTGTAAAGTGATTCTGTACCCATGTAAATAAGATGGACTTCATAAAGATATTTAACATGTGCTGTGCCTTGCTGCCTTGTATACTCTTCCCCCTCTCCCTCCCCTGGTAACAGGAATGGAGGTCTCTGGGACAGGCTCAAGCATTGCTAGGGGCTGGGATTGACTTGAAACACAAAGCTGCCCTATCTGAGCAGTACTTCAGGCATGTGAGGGGGAAGGGGCTTTTCCACTGAACTTTGGACAGTCTAGAAAAAGTCGAGTTTTATCTCATCTTGGGACAGTGACTGAAATTATCTCCAGGAGCCCAAGGACAGAGCTGTATGATGAGGAATCAGGCTCAGCTTTCGTGCTACACTCACAGGAAGCCACTGCAGTCCCTGCTTGCTGGGGTGACACTAAGCCTCCATCTCTCCAGTGGCTCACCTGCAGTGCCCAAACCTTGGTGCCATATGCTCAGAGCTGCCTGGGAAAGGATGTGATCCTGGGAAAACAAGGCCCCACCACCCTAAAACACCCACAGTGACTAAAGCAACACCTCCCTGAGGCCAGAGTGCAAAGGCAGTGCTTCTGCCACCCCTCTGCCTGTGCTGTCCAGCACTTCCTCTTGTTCTAGCTGCCTAAATAGCCCCAGCCAGGCTGCAGGAGCACACACATGGACCGGCACATGGGTCAAGCTCCCCCAGCTGGGGCAGGATCAGCTTCTCCCTGGGACACTGCTGAGAAGGCAGCATGGCTCAGGGCACCTCACCTCAGGTCCCCCTACCTGCTGCAAACCAGGGAGGAAGAGGAGGGAGGGGAGGCTCAGAAGGCATCCTTGTTGTCCCCCACCCACTGCTGGAAGGTGCGGGCCTTGGGGTTGAGCTTCATGGTCAGGGCCACGTTGCGGTCTGGCTTTAGGGCGTAGAAACGGAACATGGCAGCCATCTCCTTGGCCCCAGGGAAGTCCTGCTTCTCATACTCCTCAGGGGAGATCTGCCAACAGAATGGGGGGGAAAAACAGTGTTTCAGAGGCTGCAGGGGCTTGCCCTCAGCCTGTGAGGGCTCTGTTGGAGCAGCCTGTTGCAGCATTGCCACTGGTGAGGAGGGCTCCGCAAGGCACTTCTGCTGGGGTTGGGCAAAGGATGCAGCCCTGCCTGGCAGGAACAGCCCAGCCAGCCTAGGGCCAGCAGCCAGGTCTGGCACACAGCTGGCCAGCATCTGGAGCAGCTATGAGGGAGCCCTTCCTCACACCAGAGCTATGGCTGAGGGGTTCTAGAAACTGCTTGGTCAAGGCTGCCTTGATGATTCAGGTTGCCACGTGGCACTCCAAAACATCCTTCCCTGCCTGAATCAAAGGGTTTGGTTCCCTGTGCCTCTGGGAGAGCAGAACCTGCAGAGAACATCAGAGGGGCTTTGCTTCTAATGAAATGTACTTAGTTCTCAAAGCAGGGAGCCACAATACCCCTCATCCATTGTACTGCCTGCCTGAGGCACAACTGAAATGCAAACAAAGATTAAAAATAAGTCATGAAAGGGCAGGGAGTGGTCGGGGTGTTGTTAACAGTGACACAGCACAAAGGCCAGATCTGTTGTAATGGTGACACAGCAAAGCCCTGGGGGAAGCCCTGCTGAAGGGAAGGGCACCCAGCAGAGACTTGTTGTGCAGGTGCCCATCCCTGGCTCTGCTGGAGACCTCCCAGCTCAGGTGTCCCTTGGAGCACAGACCTGCCTGGGCACATCGTGTGCTCCACGAGCACGAGCTCAGTGACAACACCAAGAGGGCAGTGTCAGTGCCAAGCTGTGCTCCAGCCACACCCAGGGGCAGCAGGACTAACCCTGGACACCAGTGCTGGGCTGTACCAAAACGAGCCAGGAGTCCCTCAGGAACATCACCTACACCAAGGGACACTTCCTACCTTGCTGGCTGTCACAGTCTTGCCCGTCTGCTTGGAGAGGATGGCAGCGTACTCTGCCTCGGTGAGCTTGCCCGTGCTGAGTCCTATCACCTGGCCAATGTACTCCCCTGGGGACTTCAGCAGGCAAAGCACAACGGGCCCAAGGTCCTCCACAGCCATCCCATCCATTGGGGTGTCCCCCATGGGCAGCTCTGCATGGAGAGATTGACCCCAGCTGGAGCGCAGCCCAGCTCTGAGGAGGTACAGCGCAGTTTGCAGCTCCCAGTGTCTGGACATGAGGTGAGGGAGGGATGAGAGCACCCATCAAGGCAGGAGAGCAGGGCTGAGCTAAGAGACCTTGACACCAGAGCAGCACCGTGAGTCACCCACAGCCCCACCACCTCCACCATCCCAAACACAGGCACTTGGGGTGTCCAGAGCTGCTCTGGCATCCGCAGAACAGTCCTCAGCACCACAAATAGACCCAGGGTCTTGGTGATTTCCTGCAGGCCACCAAAAAGCTCTGAAAACCGTAATGCAGCTTGCTGTGGTCAAGCTGGTAGAAGCCTCTTCACCCTGCCAGCCCACAGCCCTGTCAGTGTCTCCACCCCTCAGTCCCTGCACAGTGGGAGCAGATGGGGACAGCCACAGGGCAGTGACCCACAGAACAAGAGCTCCTGCTTACCCAGGACAAAGCTGTCTCCCTGCGGGGCCTTCTGCGGCTTGAAGATGGAGAGGAAGTTCTCAAAGTAGAAGGGCAGGCGGATGATGGTGGTGGGAACCCCAATTTTCTGGAAGTACTCCTCCACCACACCTTTGCCATCAAAGTGCAACACCTCCAGCTGGCCCCCTGTCAGCTGCTGCACGTTCTCCAGGCCGCTGAACACGACGTGGCGCAGACCCTGGCGCTTGGACAGGTCAGCGAGACGCCGTCCCTGGGCCAAGGGAGAAACCAGCCATGAAGAGGGGAACGAGATATTCCCATCATCCCCACACCCTCCCTTCCCTCTGGGGAGAACCCAACTCCCACCAGCCCTCAGCTGGGACCAGTGCTGAGCACAGTGAGTTGTCCAGGTGGAGCTGAATCCTCTCCTTACCCCATCATTCTTCAGAAAGACCACACACCCTCCAGCTTTGGAGCTCACTACTCCACCACACACAAGCATCAGCACAAAGAATCTGCCTGGCCAACATACCTGCCCTAAACTATCTTATCTTTTGTTTGTTGCCATCCAGGCGAGGCAACTGCTGCCTTGCAATATTTGTCCTGGGGTGAGCACCACCCTTGGGATCTCTGATACTGCAGGATTTGGCTCCAAAGCTGCAAGCACAGAGAGCTACAGGTCTGCAGGCAGCAACATCAGCTCTGCCTGGGAAGGCTCTGAGGAGCCAAGTGTTCCCTCTACTCCTGCTACTCAAACTTCTGGGAAGTGCCCTCCATAACAAATTTATCAATGCCCTGAAGGCACCAGATCCTGGAGCTGTGCAACTGCGAGGGAACAGAGAACAAGTCCTGGCTTTGCAAGAACTGAGACCTGGTGTTTGTGAGGCCTTGGGGTCTTCTGGACTGGTCACTCAAACCATCAGGGCTGCCACAAGAGCTGTTCCCACCTCGATGCTACTCATGATCTGCCCTGCCACAGGCGGCCCCAGTTCACGTCAGGACAGGTACCTGCTCGATTTCCTTCTCCTTGCTGCAGTGCTCCCAGAAGTTGGTGACAATAAAGGATCCGTAGGCACCTGCCAAGGCCCGCTCCAGCGACGCCTCATCGTCCTGATCTGCCTTCACCACCTCGGCTCCCCTCCGCCTCAGCTCCTCCGCCTCCTTCTTCCTGGGGCTCCGTGTCACCGCTCGCACCCTGAAGGTGCCGTCCTGCAGCAGCGCCCGGGCCACGCCGCCGCCCTGGGCCCCTGCAGGAGCGGCCGCTCAGGGCCCGGCTCCCCGG